TTTTTTTACCTGAAATGTAATTCAATTTTCTCATTTTTTTTTTACCTGAAATGTAATTCAATTTTCTCATCTCTCCTCACTAATTTGGTATCTTGATTTTTTTTATCTCTGTTCTGTTGTTTGTGGATTTTTGGATTTCTGGTGAGTCTGTAGAAATTAATGAGTTTTTGCTGCTTGTTTGGAATAATCATTGCATCAGAAGGCTAATAATCCAGTTATTTCATGCCTGTATGCGCTAGGTGAAGGCTAGTTCCTTGAATTAGGGGAAAAAAAAGTTCAAATTTTTGATGTGATTTGTGATGGAAATTGGAATTGGCAAATTTATTATCGATTTTCAAGATAGTAAAAGTGAAATTGACAAATTATGCGTGAGTGATTTGTGTGCCTTATGATTTGGAGTGAGACATGCAGAGTTTCGTTTGGTTTTCGTGTTTGTTCTTGATAAACCGAGCATCCTCGATGTAGCTTGTTAGAATATATGTCACATATTTGCTCAATATCACATAGTTAGGCTTTGATATTATCTTTCGGGTGTGTTCCCGAAAACAAAACCGCAGGACCAAAATCAAACAATATCGAACTAATGGATTGGACTATCCGCAAGGTTTATGAATTCTAACTTAGCTTGCGCTAAGGATTTGGCTGCTTTCTGTCTAATCTGCACTGTTGCTTAACCTTGCTTATTAATGCTAATCTAAGTTTGCATTCTATCTCTTCTTGAATTTGTCAAGTTTTTTTTTTTTTTATCTTAACTTCCGTCTTTACCTTTTGTTGTTTGAAATAATTTCAGGTAAGAAGACTGACTATCCTGTTAAGATCAGTGGACTCGATATCGATCCATATCCAATTTCCAAAGGCAAAACTACCAAGTATCAATTCACTGCATCTACAGGTAAGCAATGGCCGTGTATCGTCTTGTTTGGACTGATTCTTGATTCTGTATCACTCCTGTGACTCATCATACAGTTTTATACTTCTAGTGCAGATCTTTTTTTTTTGGCAATGCATCATCTTTTTGTTATTTTAGTATTTGTGAGTATGGCAAAAAGATGCAATAGCTTTCTTGTGTCTTCTTTGTTTGTTTGTTTGTTTGTTTTGCATTGGTATCACTTTTTCCGAAAGCCTCCCCTTTTTTTTTGCAAACATTCCTTCAGAAAGATATTCTTATCCAGTACAGCAGCTTGATAGGAGTCTGACATTCTCAATCCTTGTCGAGTTTGACTGTAATTTCCGAGACTTATAAAAGCCCTTGTGTGTTTTGATGCAGGTGAAGCAATATCTGGTGGGAAACTTGTCATTGACGTATCGTACTTCGGATTCCACGTCCACAGTGAGAATCACGACCTTTGTGATGAGACCCCGTGCCCTGTTCCTGCTGGTGATTTTAACGTCACTCGCACCCAAGAATTGCCGGGATACACACCACCAGTGAGTAATTTTAATTTACCGTGATTTTAGTTAAAATATTGTGAATGTGTTTGAACCTCTACTGGACTTGGCTGATTTGTAATCGACGTTTTGCGATATATATATGGAGGGCTCATACACGCTGCAAATGAAGATGGTGGACTCGAGCAACAAGGAACTGGCTTGCATTACTTTTAGCTTCAGCATTGGTTTTCTGGCTGAAGAGAACTTTGCTGATGTTTGAATTTCCTTTTTTTCCTTGATCTCACTATGTTTGATTGTTTATTTGAAAATTAAGTTATGTAGCATACATCGTTGAGTACAAAAATATTTATATAAACCCGCCAAATGGAGTTTACTAACTGATCGATCATATACATGCATTCATTTGTTCTTCAAGACCAATTCAATTTCTTGTGTCTTTCATATCGTTTCGGATTAAACCTGTCGATAATTCTGCCAGCGGGACGCTAACCGATTTTCCGTTTTCCATAAAACGGTCGGGCCCCAGCCTGTTCACCGATAATTCTGCTCGGAAACGGTGAAGAACATGTCGAGTACGTCACGACCCTCTGGCTGGCCCTTGGCTACCTCCAAGGCCCTCCGGGCCGCATAACCAGCCATCTCCTGAACCTCCTCGTTGTCCGCCGGCGCCAGAAGCTTCTGGAGAACCTGTTCCAGGGCCTCGCGCGTCTGATGGTAGGACGATACCTGTAGAAGATTCCGCCTGACGGAGATCCTCAATGAGGGCCGGCGCCGGTGATTGAATCTGCAGACGAATCGGAAATTGATGTCAAGTTGGGGAAGCATAGTGATCCGCCGTGGCTGGCCGCTGCTGCTGAATTCCGATCGAATCAACTTCATGGAGTAGCCGGCGGGCTCGGGCTCGTAATCGCACACCATGTTGTCAATGAGAATTTCCATAAGCTTAATTGATTATTAGTAGTAACTGAAGCAGAGTATATATATACATAGATATAAATAAATCTTCAGAAAATCCTTTGCCTATATAGGAATAGGTTATAAATAAAATATTCTTTTAATTAAACCGTGCAGTGCAAGCAAATATAATGTATTAATTATTACTTATATTAGTAAGAAACAATTATTAGTTTATGTATTATTTTTCTGGCGGTTTGCCTTTTGGTTTTCATTTTATTTCCTCATACAAACTTCATTTTTTTTAATTTTTTTTTTATTATATTGTATTATATTATATTTAATTGAGTCGATAATATTATGTTTTAATTAAGGAAATAAATCATTACAACCTGAAACGATCCAAACAGAAAAATATTCCTACGCAAAATCGGATTTCACTAAAGTTACTAAATCCTAATATGCGTAGGCTTCAATATTAATTTAGTTTTGTATATATATGTGCATTTTATTCACGACACACACTATCATTTAATCTATATCTATATAATAAAAATTACCATTTTTTAAAAATGGTAGGTCAACTATATAGTCAAATTTACTTATCTTTCCATTAATGGCAATTTTTTTTTATTTTTTAACAAAAACAGACTAGCATTAATTGATGTCCTTAAAATGTGGAAGTTGTTGCTTTATTTTTGTACAAATATATGAGACTTAAACCATTTAAAATTTCCTTAATAATCAAATTTCCTTAATAACCGGATTAAGGTGTCAATTTTAACATATCACGATTGAGGTGCTTTATTTATCCTACATACAATTTCATGTACATACAATTATTTATTTATCCTAATACCTCATGTTGTATTTGTAACCAATTTTAACATATCATAATTGCGGTGCTTTATTTATATCTACCAAGTAAATTTTAAAATTTTGTACGTTATTGTGTAATATTTATAAATATTACACATAAATATTTATAAATACAAATTTTTCACGTATCCGTGAAGTAAGGATTATATTTGTAAAGATTACAAATTTTTACGTGTGAAATAATTTCTATTAACCATTTGCCAAATAAATGTAAAGATCATTTTATGTTTGAATAAATATAAATATTTTACCGTAGCACCAATTACATATGTAATTTTGTACCCGTGAAATATATCTTAATTATAATTTAGAATATGAAATTATATTTAATTACGAAAGATTATAATTAAATTATATTTAAATGATTAACTATTTAATGAATACATGCACCATTTACGAAGCTTACTTAAATAATATTGGACTTGATACAAGTATCCGATTATAATATAATTACATATAATTCATAACGTTTAAAATTTTGCCACATATTTAATGCAATATAATTATTTCAATTATATTAAAGTATTTCATTAATTATACAAGCTTTAATGAAATTACATATATCAACGTAGAATTGATATACTTAAAAACTGGATTTATTGTTTCAAAAAGATACTCCATATTTGATTAAACACTAAATCGGGCTGTTTAGAATAATTTTATTTGATCAAAAGCAGTATTATTATAGAATCAACTATTATAGAGTATCTTTTTAAAAGCAGTATTATTATGGAATCAAATAATTTAACCACAATTCAATCTTTTTAATGTAAATCGATATCTTTTTTTTAAAATGATAATGATTGAAAAAAAAAAAAGATATACTCAAATTCCACCCTTTAAGAGAACAACTTTCTTTATATACTCAAAAGATATACGGTTGCCAAGTGCAAATATTTTGCATGGAAAAACAAAGAGGTTTTAATAATGTATGACTTTTTTCATGACGAACATTTTACGATTACCTGACAAATGCTCTACGTATTATAACTTATTGACTAATAGCCTCTAATTCTAAATTTTGCCAAAAACAAATACAGAATACTTATTGACTAATAGCCTCTAATTCTAAATTTTGCCAAAAACAAATACAGTCTGTGCGTCGCACGGGGTTACGTACTAGTTTCTCCTAAAAAAGAAGGAAAAAAAAACAGAAAAAAAAATGGAAGTTCTCATCGGCAACATGGCCGGCAATTACAAATCCGAGCCCGACCCCGAGCCCGAACCCGAGCTCGTTGGCTATTTCATGAAGCTGGTTCGGTCGGAATTCAGCAGCAGCGGCAAACCGCGGAAGATCACGATGCTTCCCCAGCTCGACATCAACTTCCGATTCATCTGCCGGTTCAAACTCCGGCGCCGGCCATCGCTGAGGATCTCCGTTCGACGGAATTTTCTGCAGCTGTCGTCCTACCATCAGACGCGGGAGGCCCTGGAACAGGTCCTCCGGAAGCTTCTGGCGCCGGCGGACGACGAGGAGGTACGGGAGATGGCCGAGCATGCAGTCGGGAGGGCCCGGGAGATCGTCAAGGGCCGGCCCGAGGGGCTCGACACGCTCGACCTCTACTTCGGAGTGTCCGAGCGATGACCGTGGGGCCCAGCAGGACGATTAGTTATGCTTAATTACCTGTAAAATGTAAATCGTGATGATCTGTTACTAATTACTGATGTGATTGGTTTGAGACTGTTGTGTACGTTTTTCCATGGTTTGAGATTGTTTGATATATTGATGTCTATGTTTTGGTAATGAGTTCCTTAAACCTGCCTTTAGATTGAAGGTTTAGCGATTTGAAATATATAAATTTTAAATTTACAAGTTAAATCTCTGTTCGAATGATAATAAAAGTTTGGAGGATTTTAAAATTATTTTAGACAGACATTGATTGGTACACGGCTTTGTGCATTTGCACATATTTATAAATTATTTGTATACATATAATATAAAAATTATAAGTTACATAATGATATTATATTTTAAACATAGAGTATTATAAGTTATATTTATGCGTATAATATTAAAACTATAAGTTAGATAATGCTATATGTTTATATTTTATTATAAAATTTGATAATTAGTTAAAATAAATAGTACATAACGATTTGATTTCATATGAATCACTATATTGAATGCATAAAAATGTAATAAATAATGCAATTTTTTTAATTTTTTATAAATTTGAAGGGATTATGACCAATTAATTAGTTGGATATTAAATTTAATATAACAATTGCTTATCGAATTTTAAAGATTTTTACTGTGACATTAGAATAATTAATTTATTTTAAAAACAAACTCTTAATCATATAAAAAATATAATATTGATTCATAGAATAAATTGCTGGAACAAAAAGTTTTAATAATATAATTTTTTATGCTTATGTATTTCCCATTTATCATTTAGTGTAAAAATATGATTATTATTTTTGTAATAACTATTATATGATACAATAAAAAATATAAATATTACTCAGTTAATATTAAATATTATAATAGTTTTTATCTTAATTAACTTAAAAAAAAATGCAAGTGAATATTTTATCATTAATGTGATAGGGTGAATTAATTTAATGATAATCATTCGAACAAGGGATTCGACGAAAAGACTAGGTGAATATTATGACTTCTAATTAAAAATTATAATAATAAATTGTAACGATTTTTGAGTTATGAATTATATATATATATATATATATATATATATATATGAACTATAACATAATTGAAAATATAAAATATATAATGATTAATGATTTTTCTTTCTCTTTTTTTGCAAGCAAAATTTACAATTAAAGGAGCTGGAATATCTTATTTAAATGCGTGTAATGTATATTTTGATATGTATTTTTTTTTCGAATTATTTATTATTTATTTAGGAATTTCAATTACCTTTTTATTATGTAACCAAAAAAATAAAATCTAATCAAATTATGCGGTCCCATCAATAATCTAAAGTTTAAATGATTTTTATAATTTTGAAGTGATTAGTGTACTAATTATGTATTACATAAATTAAAGTAACAGTTTTTTTTTTTTTTTGATAAAAAGGTTGTAGTGCCACCAAAGTAAA